AAGTAAACATCAATTACTATACATACAATGACATTGTCAATCTTTTGTCGTTCCTTTCTTTTGTGCCCAAAAGAGTCCAGTGCAAACATTTCCAATGATGGAATCTTCACAGCGTAGCACCACCAATGGCCGTCATGGATAATTGGGACAAACAACTACAACAAAATTAATATCACACCATCAACTACGAATAACCATAAACATACTCTCGAAATAACTTCAATGAAATGTAATTGCACTAACAAATTCGGCATTAACAATGTCATCAAATCCGATGATATTAGACTGGAAGTAGTGAGAGTAGTCATTCAATGTCCAAACTTTGCGATTACTCTTTCTCTTTCTTGACTCAATTAAAACATGGGTCTGCAAGGAAATGACACGGTTAGCTTTCATTTCTCATGTTAACAGATTATTAAAAGCATAAAACAACTACTATTTTAACGTACCGCATATAATGGACTAAAACATATCCTTTTCACTACTCCGGTACTCCTTCTTTCAAAGAACATGAACACTGATGTGGCAAACAAAATCCCCTACACAACCAACAACTTCTTAATACTATACAATTCCAATTACTATACATAAAATAAATCATAAATTCACACATCAAATTTCATTATTACCGTGTTGCCAACCTGCATCCTAGGTCCAAAAGAATAACACTCTTGGGTTCCAAATGTTTGACCGGAAATTTCAGAAACAACCCTTCAAAGAAAAATATGACATAAGTCAACATGTTTCATCATCACACTATTAATAAATGGAATTTAAGAATTGTGAAAGTGAGAAATTCATTACCTCCAAGGAAGTTTAAACGGAATCACCATGTTGTACAACTGTGTTCGATTTACATTCAAAAAATTATCATCGTCACTGTCATCATGTACTGCCACAGTGCTTACAACAGGTCCAATATCCATAACGTCCTCAACGTCATCCTTCAGTCCTGAGCAACAACCACCCACATCACTATACGTGAATGTTTGAAAACATTGCCCTGCCCCACCATGACCATCAACATCACCATCCTCTTCTTTACCATCATTCCCTTTCTCATAATCTTCCTTCCCAACACCGACCAATGTAGCCAAACTTCTCAAATCTTTATCCATTGCAACCATTTTTCTTTGGTTGTCTTCAATTTTCTTCATGACCACTTGTTCCCAACTTAACCCTAACTCATCTCCATCATCTTCCGCTATTGACCCTTCTTCCAAATGAAGGGCCGCACAAATCATTGAGTTTTGACGGTCCTCGTCCCGCAAAAACCACTCCCAACATATCTATAAACATCCTTATGTAAGTAATCATTTAATAACAAAAAGACACAATTCATGTACTACATATCAAAAAAATGTCAATTAAAATAACAGCTAACTTACCTCTTTCCGTTTAAACAATTCCTCTATTTTGTTACACCTTAACTTAAGCGAACGCCAATTCATTATTCGCGGGAAGACAATGTCATGTGCACCGTCCGCTAAACCCAAACGTTCGACCGCCCATAGCTAAAAAACAAATATTAACCAAAACATTAATCATATAATAAACAAATTATGCCCACATCAAACGTAATCTAATTTTGAATTTCTTACCTGCAACACGGCAACATTCCCACTAAGACCGAGGTCCCTTATGTGACCTTGCCTTATCTTCCTTGAAGCATTTCCTAAACTATTTAGGACAAATGTGTGCACAGCTTTTGCCCAATTATATTTGTACAAATTATCAATGTTATCTAATACTCTAAAAGGCATGTTACTAACTGCCTTTGAATGTCTAGGAAAGTAGAAAACAATAAAACAAACTAAAATATACAAACGACAAACACAATCAACATCCGTCTCATTATTTTGTATTAACAACTTTATCCTATGTATGACATCTTTTACAGTGAATGACTTTGACGAAAATTGATGACAAACAACACCATCGAAGTCATCATCAAAATTTACATCTAAACCACCAACACCCAACCCTAAAACCATGCAAACATCGCCTACTGTAAATGGTACCATTGTTTGCTTCAAAACAAAAGATTCGTTGCGGCTAACCCAACGTCTAACCATTTCCTTCAACAAAGGAGTGCAGAAGTCAATTGGACTGTTCATATAAACACACCACTTGAACGGAGTCATTTCGATCCGTGTCCTATGACTGTCGCCTAGTATGGAATTAAGGTCCACTATCGGTTTTGTGTCACTCCATGCCCGCAACCGCAACTACAATTCATTTTCAAACAATTAAAACCATTATACCCTGTTTTGAAAGAAAGGTTAAACTTTTCGTATTGTTATATATACTTACATTCTTGTAACCTTCTTCGTTATTGCAATCCATGACTACCAATCGAACAGAATTACAACAACAATGTAAGATTAACCACAACACTTGTATAAAAATGAGTAACAGAACAACACCAAATCCAATCCAATAACAACATGATCCATGTATTCAACATTAATTCCACTGAAAAATCAAAAACCAAACCAACCTTCAGTGAACACGACGTGTGGCGGAAAACCCCTCTTTTTGGACAAATGTGTGACAGCCCACACTCCGGCGAGACTCCGGCGAACGTCCGGCGGCACTCCGGGACACGGACGGAACCACCTGGGACGATGCGACACCTTCAACGCCTTCGTACGTCGCTGGGCCGGAACGGACGGAACACGATGCCGTGTTCGCTTCGACGGAGCTGCGGCGCCCCTGAAACGGAACGGGCTGGAGGGCGTTCGATCTCTCCGACACGGCCTTCAACAGTGAACGGCGGCTTCACTCCGGCAACGACTCGGTCTCTCTCTCTCTCGCTCCTGAACCCTTTCTCCAACTCTCTCGTCTAGGTCACACAAGTGGGTTTTGGTTGTTCGCGCTTCTTCTCTGTCTACGAAGTGACAACATAAAATTCAAATTTGAAACGCACTCCCCCAATCTGCCCGTGCCCGTCCTCGCCACGTCAGCGTTAAAGCAGGTTTCATCAGAAATACTCAGAAAACAGCAGCTTTTTCCAACCAAAAAGTGGACCACTCAAACGCTGACACGTGTGCTGTGTCGAAATGTTGTCAAAATTTGTTGTCTAAGTATCGTTTTCCAAGATGGAAATAAAAAGTAAAATTTGATGAAGGTCCTTTTATGATAAAAAGATGATATGCATTATTAAATTGGTGGAAGCAAAAAACAAAATATCTGGGAAAGATCCCAAGGAAAGGGGCTCTAGTGTTGGTACTACCTGAAGTCCCAATCATTTTCCATAAATGGGATGATTAACCTGACACCTCAAGTAAGTCTCGAATGTAGCAGTACTTAACAACCAAAGTCTACCAGCGCCAACTTCAGTTATTATAATTTTTTTATATTCCAAAACTTATCACATACTTTATCATAATTATTGATCGTACTTAAATAAATAAAAGATGCATTCTCAACTTAGAAAAATGTGTACATCTGCAAGCTTTAGCTCAATCAGTAGGACATAATCTAACAAACATTTCAAATCAACTCATATTTTAAATTATGAGCAAGCACAATTTATTATAATTGACATGCAAAATTTACTTCAAGTAAGTTAGGGAAACAATAGTATCAAATTAGTCAAACTGGCAAAATTACAAGGTTTTCACCACTAAAAAATTTTTTATTTACAGACAGAAGACATCTGTCGATAAATATACTAAAATCCGTTGATAATATCAATTTCTTTTACAAATTATTAATAGACAGAAATTTGTCGATAAGTACCTTGTCAGAAACATTTACCAATGGATCATGACTGTCGATAATTACCGATGGATGTAGACCGTCGGTAATTACCGAAGGACACAAATTGTTTATAATTACAAATAGTCAATAGCCATCGGTAATTACCAAAGACCATGTTCTGTCATTAATGACGTGACAAAACGGATTGCATTATCGACAAATTATTTTGTCAGTAAGTCCATCGATAAAGTCCAAAACAAAATTATGTGTAGTGGACAACATTCCCTATCCACTACAATAAATATGTCATAATATAATTAATACAGACAGATGTCTCAATTCAGATAATGCAAACAAATGTCGCAATTAAGACAATGCAATGAATCATAAATAAAATCCGTATAATTAAAAACATAGTAATATTGTCATTCATATAAGAAAAAATAAATCATAAAAGTAAATGTATGTAAAACTAAATAATGTTCTAATAATCATCATAGTCTTCTAAATAATTATCTTCTTTTTCATGTTGTTAAGGCTAATGCCGGCACTACAAAAAAGAAGGGTATTACTGAAGGCCAGGAGCCCTTCTTCTTCATGCTAGGAAGGTGGCTATTGGTAGGGAGATGGTTACATTAGGGTGGAATGGATTGGAGGATGTTGTTACTAGGACGATGATGGGTTCATCATGAATTTGGTCACGAGCTTGTAGTTGTTGTTTGAGTTGGACAATTGTTGTTTGAGCTGGACAACAGTCTCATAAAAAATGTTGGATTCAAATGGTTGGTGCTTCAATATACCTTTTCCAGTAATGTAATTGGTAGTAAGTTGTCCTACCCCTCATAGTCGTCCTTTCTTTTATTCATTAACAACGTCAACCCAACATTGTGTCCTAATTGTTGATAAGGGGAGTTGTATCTAGTTATACCCATCTCACACATATTTTTTTGATGATGAACAAAAGAAATGTTTTATGGTTTCTTCCACACCAAATCACATAACAGTTGTTTGATCATTATTGTATTTGTGCTTGAAATGCTTCTTGTATGTATTCATTGATTTGTAAATGAATCATAGGTTGAAACACATTAATTGCACAGTGTATATTCGGAAGAAATAATCAATTAAACTTGTATAAAATCTGTTAAATTTCTTCAGATTTTAGTACATGCTTAACATTGACAAAATAGTTGTGTAATAATCGATTATATTAGTTATATAATCGATTAAAACACGTTGCTATGCCAACATGTGTTTGCTGAGTGCATTGATGTGTTTGGAAAGAAAAAAGATTTTGATATTTGCTTAAGTATGGAACTTAACCGGTTACTTAAGTTTCATAATCAGTTAAATTGATTATCTTGTGAAAATCATTTTCATTAAATGTCATAATTTCCTATAGCGGTCATATTTGAATGTTGTTGGCTTGTATGATTTATTTAATCGATTACATGCACTGTTTAATATGTTAAATTTGATACAGATGTAAAACTATTAATGTAGAAGGAAAAGATTAACATATTACATTAATTGCATAATGAATTAAATTGCGTCAAGAATTGAAAATTCTATAAATAGATGACTTGCGTGCTGTTTCAATACAATTACATGAACTTACACTTTCATAACTAATTTGGTTGTTGAATATTGATTGCAGGAGCGTGTAAGAACTTCTTGGAGAATCAAGATCATTCATTTGGGAAAATCATAAAGATTCTTGCTAGAAAGTTGTCTTGAAGCATTGTTGATCATATCTACACTTCTTGAGGATCAGTGTCTACATTGCAATCAAGAGGATTGTGTTCTTGTTGGTGTTAGCCAGGAGGAGAACCGAAGTGTTCTGCATTGGGAGTTGGGATTGCTCTCAAGGTGTAGAGAAAGTTGGGATTGCTTTTCCGGTTTGTGAGATTGTGAGGTGTTCACATCTTGTATTGTAAGTGATATTGAGTGGGAAAAAAGAGTGCATTGAGAGGCGATATCTCTGTATTCTTGCTTAAAGATTTTGCAAAGCTTTTTGAAAGAACATTTTTTAAAGCAAAATCCAGTTCACCCTCCTCTTGGTTGAGATATAAGGCATCACATTTTTAATAATTGGCACCAGAGTTGAGAATTCAAAAATTACTCGAATTTTAATCAGTTAGGTTTTCCGCATAACCGATTTAAGAGTTCGTGACGGCCAATATATCTCAAACTATGAGCAAAAGTGTAATTGATGATTAGAATAATGGTTTCTTGAATTCAATAGGCAAAGATGTATGGAATTCTGTGATTAACAGTTCTAATTAGCCTATTAAGACAAGAAGATCAAGGAGATCAAATCAAATGGAGAAATGATTCACCAACATCTAAAACTTGTGGAAAATTCAGAGAATGGAGAAACATATTTGATGGCAGAAAGGTTCTCAAAATTCTTGACATGCAAAGGGAAATCTGACTTGAATCTTGCAGAAAATCAAGAGCACTCCAGAGACCAAGATCTGTAGCAAGAGAATGAAGGCATAAAAGATGTATGCGAGCACCCAGAACAATAAACAAATTTGAGCATGATGGCATGATTTGCACAGGCTGGAAACAATGAAGAAAAGGTTAAAAAAGAAGCCATATGGCATCTTGACAACGGATGTTCCAGACATATGACTGGAGATCCTACAAGGTTCGTCATCCTACCTTAAAAAACAATGATCATGTCACATATGGGAACAACAATAAGGGCAAAATTGTTGGTATTGGTAAAATACAAACACCCTCTTCATATATCATTGAAAATGTCTTACTCGTTGATGGGTTGAAACATAACCTGCTTAGCATTAGACAATTATGTGATAAATGATTAAAAGTTGCATTTGAACCAAATCCTTGTTTAATTTGTCATGATTCTTCAAATGAACTTATGTTAATTGGAAAGAGATACAACAATATATACATGGTTGGTTTTAGAAAAACTTCTTTTAAATTTGTGATATGCTTGTTGTCTAAAGAAGATGAGCCTTGGTTGTGGCACAAAAGACTTGCACACATTCACATGCCTCATTTAAATAAACTTGCATCTAGAGGTCTTGTTCTAGGACTGCCAAACATAAAATTTGAATCTGATAGACTTTGTGATGCTTGTCAAAAAGGGAAACAAACTAGAGCATCTTTTAAATCAAAGAGGGTAATATCTACTGCTAGACCTCTTGAGCTTTTACATATGGATCTGTTTTTCCCTTCAAGAATCAAAAGTCTAGGAGAAAATCTTTATGGTTTGGTCATAGTAGATGATTATTCTAGGTTCACTTAGACTTTCTTTCTTAAATCTAAGAGTGATATTTAGAACTTTTAAGACATTTGCCTCTAATATACAAAATAAAAAAGATCTTATGATAAAGGCTATTAGAAGTGATCATGAGAGAGAGTTTCAGAATGAAAACTTTGAGAACTTTTGTGATGAACAAGGCATATCACATAACTTCTCGGCACCTAGAACACCACAACAGAATGATGTAGTTGAAAGGAAAAATAAAGCCTTAGAAGAGCTTGATAGGACTATGTTGAATGAGAGATCACTGTCTAAACATTTCTATGTTTACGTTGTCAGCATAGCTTGTTATGTGCTGAATAGGAACATCATTATACTCATGCTTAAGCTTACCCCTATGAGC